AGGGGAGTGGATTTTTGGGGGGGGGGGGGGGGGGGGGCGTACTCATTTGTTGCTTGCCGTAGTCATTTGACCATTGACCACGCATCCCTTTCGAGACGGAGCACCGTTCCTACACCTACTAGAGACACCACCAACATTTGGGAGCTCTTTACGTTTCTGCCACACACTCCATAAAAATTTCTTGCACATCTTATCCCCGTCCTCTAGGGCCTCTTGTGCCCACCATCTATCCCCAATTATCGCGATCGTTTTTTCGCTGTTGTCTAATTTACCAAACTTGTCCATGTCACACCCTCTCTGTCTCATTTCCTCCTCGAGATCCTCTCTTTCCTTCTTGTACAACTCACACTCCCCAACTATGTGGGGTCTACTCTCCTCCGATTTGCCACATGGACATGTGTGTCTATCCTCCTCTTCCTCTCTCCTACGGCTGGTATACCTCTTCCTCCGTTCTGGCAAGCCCAGATCGCCTACTCGAAATTGCAATTTCAGCTTTTTCGCATAGTCCATGGGGCCGTCCAAGTACGTCTTCATCCCTATCCCTTCTTTCAACTTCCCGTATATCTCCAAGTGGTCTTCGCTTCGTACCTTCTTCCGAAGGGTTGCCTCCTCCCTACTCTCTAGCATCTCCTTGACTTTCGTCTTGAACCCCCCGAACCCTTCCGTGTCCAACGTCTCCTCCTCGTCTCCTATCTCCTTCCAAACCTTCTCTACCACCTTGTCCCATCTGATTCCCTTCTTTCCTGGAGTCGCTTTTCCCCAAGCTGCCTTGTCAACCATGGCTGGTAGTCTATCGTCCGACATTCTACTTACCTTGTACTGCCAATTCAACTTCTGCATGTCTCTCTTTGTTTTAAGAGAGTACATTCCCAATTCTGCTCTCAATACAGTGTTGCTCGTTGTACTTGAACATCCTAATATTTTCTTGGCCGCTGCCATTTGTACCGTTTCCAGCTGCTTGACGGCCTTTTCGTTACCTTCCCATACCTCTCCTGCATACTCTAGCTTAGGTACAATCACATTCAAGAGAATACACCTCTTAATCCTAGTGTCTAGGTGTGGGTCCGTAAGGATCTCGTCCATCTTGCCTATCTGAGCTTTACCCTTCCCAATCAACTTCGCTATGTGTGCGTCCCATGAGCACTCCTTCGAAATCTCTACTCCCAGGTACGTATACTTGTCTACTACCGGTAGTTCTTCCTCCCCCCATTTTCATTTGAATTCTACGGGATTTTTCTTGTCTTCGTTACAGACCACTACTGCGCATTTTCCTACGTTCGCCGACAGTCTCCATTTTCGGGTGTATCCTACCGCCGCATCTATTTGTTCTTGCAACCCTTCTGGTGTTTCGGATACCCCCACAAAATCATCTGCAAACATCAGTCCGGACACACTATTTCCCCCTACTTGGACTCCCTGTCTTACTGCTTCAACCGCCCTTATCAAATCGTTGATGTAAATCTTAAAAAGAGTGGGTGACATCGTACAGCCCTGTGCGACTCCTTGGAGTATATCCACGTACTTCGAAATTTCCCCATCCAACATCACCGCACTTCTT